AGCTGACGTTCAAGAAGCTGAGGGCTTTCAGGGTGGGCGTCGAGTATTTGGCTGGGATTTATAGCTTATGGATGCGTATATGATAGCGTTTAGTTTGGGTTTCAATGGGTTTTTTAGGGTGTAAATTGGGTTGGGATTTCGCGCTTGTGGATGCCTATAGTGGTTAATGTGGGTTGTAGTGGGTTCTATCATCGTGCAAATTGGGTTCAGGAGTTTGGAGATTTGGTGTTGCACCCGAAAAAATGGCATAAATCACCCTGTCTTTTTCCACGAGGCTTTCATGCGTGCTCTCTTAACCCTACAGGTTTTAGGGTTGCAGCCCAACCCTGTTCGAAGAGCCCTCGTGCCGAGGTGTCAGTGACGAAGCCGCAGCAACCTCGGCGAGCACAGCCTACTTGCCCCTCGGCGTCTCTTTGAGCCCCCTAAGCCCTAAACCCTACACCCTAAACCCTAAACCCTAAAACCTAACCCTAAACCCTGAAATCGAAACCCTGAGCCCTAAACCCTAAACCCTAAACCCTAAACCCTAATCCACCCCCTACCTTAAACCCACTGCAGCCCCGAAACGTCTTGAAGCCCGGAACTGTCGGCTGGCCCCCATGGCCTGCGCATCGGGTTGAAGGTTCCTCTGCCCTCAGCCCTTCCGCAGGTTGATCTACGAGCTGGCGCGCTACCAGGGCACGATGCCTGCGGAGTCGCGGTACAAGAGCAAAGGCAATGTGCAAGCCTCAAGTGTGCGGGTCAAGTAGTTTTGTGGTTGAGGAGGCCTCTACAACTCCTATACTTCAAAATCCCCAACCCTAAACTCTAAACCCTAAACCCAAAAGCCCTACAACCTACAGTCCAGTTTTTTCTTCTCCTGGCAGGCGTGCAGAATGCTCAGGATCGACTTCTCCAAGATGCCATTGCTGCTCGATGCTTTGAGGGCTTTGGGGTTTATAGGGTTTGTAGAGTTTATAGGGTTTATAGGGTTCATGGGGTTTATAGGGTTTATTGGGTTTATTGTCTTTATTGGGTTTGGGGTTTAGGGTTTTTGGGGTTATAGGGTTTAGGGTTCTAAAGTGGAGGGTTCTAGTGTTTTGGGGCGGTTGGGGGTGGCTTTGAGGTTTTGGGGGGTTTCGGGGTTTAGGGTTTCGGGTTCAGGGTTTAGGGGGGTTGCAGGGCTCAGGGTAGTAACCCCGCACCGTTTTTGAAACCCTAAGCCCTAACCACCTGAGCCTTTGGTTGACCAAAAACACTACACCCGAAACCCTTTTAGGGGTCATGGTTTGGGGTTTAGCTTGGGACTTGGCACAGCCCCATTCCCTAAACCCCAAATCCTAAAAGTGTTAAAACCCTACAAACCATAAACCCTCAACCCCCAAAGCCCTAATCCCCAAACCCTATACCCTCAAGCCATCTCAAGCCCACAATCCCTAAACCCCAAATCTCAAACCCTTGTCCCCAAACCCTATACCCCAAAACCCGACACTCCAAAACCTAAGCACCAAAACTGAAGCCTTAATCCTTGTATCATCTCTAGACCCGAAACCCCAAATGCTAACCCCACAGCCAACCTGAACCCTAAACCCTATACCCTATACCACCCTAAACCCTAAACCCTAAACCCTAAACCCTAAACCCTAAACCCTAAACCCTAAACCCTAAACCCTAAACCCTAAACCCTAAACCCTAAACCCTAAACACCTCGCAAGGCCACTGTGGCCGGCACTGCCGCGCAGCGCCTTCTGCAGCTGGCGCCCTCGGAGTCTGTGTGCCCTGGCCGAGGGTTTAGGGTTTAGGGTTTAGGGTTTAGGGTTTAGGGTTTAGGGTTTAGGGTTTAGGGTTTAAGGTTTAGGGTTTAGGATTTAGGGTTTAGGGTCAAGGGTTTAGGGTTTAGGGTTTAGGGTCTGGGGTTTGGGGTTTAGGGTTAGGAATCAGGGTTTAGTGTTTAGGGTTTAGGGTTTCGGGTTTGGGGTTTGGGGTTTAGGGTTTAGGGTTTAGGGGGTAGGGTTTGGGGTTTGGGGTTTGTGGTTTAAGGTTTAGGGTTTGGGGTTTGGGGTTGGAGTTTAGGGTTTGGGGTTTAGGGTTTAGGGTTTGGGGTTTAGGGGTGGGCCGTAGGGTTTGGGGTTTAGGGTTTGGGTTTAGGGGGTAGGGTTTAGGGGGTAGGGTTTGGGGTTTGGGGTTTGGGGTTTGGGTTTTGGGGTTTAGGGTTTAGGGATTGGATTTGGGTTTTAGGGCTTTATAGGGTCATTAGTTTCTAGGAAGATCAGGGGTTGAGGGCTTAGTACTTGTATGTCACAGGGGTTCAGCCAGGGCTTATGGTGTCTAGAGTCTCGGGGAATCCCAATGCTTGTTGCTGAGAGGCGTGCCCCCAATACTTTCTGCATGCCAGTCTAGGTGCAGTTTGCCCAGCTGCCTGCGGAGTGAAACCCCCTACCCCTAAACCCTAATCCCCAAACCCTAAACCACAAACCCTAAACCCTAAACCCTGAACCCTAAACCCTAAACCCTAAACCCTAGACCCTAGACCCTAGACCCTGAACCCTGAACCCTAAACCCTACCCTTTTGCGCGCAGCGTAGGCTCTGCCACCAGCGGTCCTTGCCGAAGGACTTGCTCGCAGGCCTGTGAGCCCGCATGTGGCTTTGGGGGTCGTGTAGGGGGGCCGATTCTATACCAGACCCTGAAACCTTATAGCTTTCAATTCTGATTTGTAGTTTTTTTATCGACTATTAGTACGGTTATACTACTGCGATGATTGCTGTTTACACAATAAATATTTGTATTAGAGCACTCGTAGTTTGAGTTTGGCGGGTCTTGCCTTAGGTTGAGGGTCAGCGGATCGGAGAGTCTTCAGCTCTTCAAGCGTTGGGATCACGGGCTTCAGGCGATGGAGTTAACGCTTAGGGCTGGGGGTTAGGGTTTCGGGTTTGGGGTTTAGGGCTTGGGGCAATTCAGGTTTACTGGAATGTGTGATGTCGGGTCTACGACACAGCGCGGGGCGCTTGACTGTCGGGACGGCCTAGATCCCTCATAGGCTAGCTTCAGTCATCTGGGACTTATCGAGTTGATACATTTTATAGGGTCTGTGGCCTTTGGGGGGCTTATGGGGTCTATGTGCTACGCTCAGCAGCCCTAAAGAATAAATCCCTGTCATCATTCCTCATTCCGAAACCTTGCTTCTCAAGCCTAAAGCCTAAAACCCTGAACTCCGAAAACCCGAGTTACGCACTCAGCCCTACGCCTTGTACCCGAAAGCCCTACAACTCGCGCCCTGAAGCCTATACCCTAAATCCACTCGAAGTTTTCGAATATGCTATACTTGGAGCGCCCTGAAGCCTATACCCTAAATCCGCTCTAAGTGTTCTTGGAATCAAAGAACATTCATTTTGGGGTGAGCAGTGTCCATAAGCCTAAGCCCTAAGCCCTAAGCCCTAAACCCTAAACCCTAAACCCTAAACCCTAAACCCTAAACCCTAAACCCTAAACCCTAAACCCTAAACCCTAAACCCTAAACCCTAAACCCTGACATGCGAAGTCCTTGAAACCACACGCGCCCCAGGCTACGCCGCAAGACCGCACACAGGGCTCGGCTCTTTGCTCCAGCGCCGCCGCCCGGCCGAACAATGGCACCCTTCCGTCAAGGCTGCCTTGGGTTTAGGGTTTAGGGTTTCGGGTCTAGGGTTTAGGGTTTAGGGCTATCCTTTTCCATTCTTCCAAGGCTACCCTGTTTAGGGTTTAGGGTGTAGGGTTTAGGGCTACCCTTTCCCTTCTTTCAAGGCTACCCTGGGTTTAGGGTTTAGGGTTTAGGGTTCAGGGCTGGCTACGCTATGATGTCGGGGGACCAACCCGAAACGACTCTGTAAGCCTCAACCCAGAAATTCGGAGGCCCTGTCGGACTGGGAGTTATTTTGGGAGCTTCTCTTGTGGGGGTGTACGAAAATAGGAGGCCCCCAATATAGATCCCCAAATAGGTAGGATCCCCTGAAAACCAGGACCCAATAAGGTACCCCCGAATTTCGGAAGCCCCCACATGGGCTTCACCCGAGGTGTTTTTCAGGTGCTTCAGCTAAGGGCTGCGGCGGCAGCTCGTCTTCACGCGAGATGTGCTGGCTGCGACAGGAGTGGTGTGCCCCACTACGCAGCTGTCCCGCGACGATGTGGCCAGGCTGTGAAAGCACTTTGAACCTTTCTCTAAGATTCTCTAAGCAGGTCCTTGAAGTTACATGTGGTACCTTATTGGGTTTCAGGTTTTCTGAGTTGTTTGGGAGTACTAGCAGAGGGTTATGTGGCCAACCTATCGCATATTTTCCTCTCTTGGGGCCAAGAGGATCGGATTTTGGGATTTTCCGATGGTTTAGAGGGCCAGCCCCAGTTTTTGTGATCCAGCACTCATGCTTCGCAGCCCCAAAGCCCCGAGGGATCGTAAGCCCGACGCTCCAAACCCCGAACCCCGAACCCCAAACTCCAAACCCTAAACCCTAAACCCTAAACCCTAAACCCTAAAAACTAAACCCTAAACCCTAAACCTGCACTATGTGGGTACATGGACCCCCCAAGGAGCCTTGGCAGCCCAGCGGTGTCCTTTACCTTTTTTTTTTTTGGTTCTGGGTTCCCTTATAAAGTAACCAACCCAAAAACAGGGTGCCCTTGTGATAATATGGTTCCTGGGCTACCACGGGACCGGAAGGGAACTGAGGTGACTCTTCACGCGCTGCCGCGCACGCGCGAGGAAGCCTTGCAGCTCCTGAAGGTGAACGGAGGAGAGGAGCTTAAAGGCTTTCGGCTTCTGGGGGGGGGGAGTTATCACTAAGTGGTTTAAGAATTAAGAATCCCAACATGGTCCCCCCATATATGCCCTTTTTACATAGTGGTACTATTGGTTTTGTTCATTTTTGCCTTTTGCCCACGGGGGGGAGGGGGGAGGGGGGGGGGGTACCAATTGAATGAGAATCCCAATATGATCCTCATATACACCACCGTAATGTTGGGATGTTCCCCCTCATACTAACAGTCCTT